TTTAATCACACGCTTGACATGAATCAAAATCTAGTTGTTTTATAATTCTGCAATATTCACCTAGATTCAACAATTCCGTTAACACCATTTGCTATTTAACAAAATTATGCTAGATTCAGCAATTCCGCAAATTTTTTTTGGAAAATTTAGTTGAATTCAACAATTCTTATAGCATTAAGTGATATATAAATATGTTTATTTAGGGTAAAAAACCGGATAACAGCGAGTTATGTAAAGATATTTAGGATATCAAAATTACATTTGAAATATGTCGATGATGCTGATATGGTATATATAATCCGGATAATTAAAATCATTATCAAACGAGTAAGAACCATATCGTGTTCGGGTATTTCAGGTAAATAAAAATAGTTTTGGATAATTTGTAGATTTATTTTATAAAAATGTAGATAACTTATTTAGGTTTATTATTTTAAGAAAATAGATAGTGTTGTATATTTTGATTTAAGTTAATTTTTTTGTTTGGTACTATTCAAAATTTTTAGTTATTGTTAGTACTAATATAATTTAAAAAAAAAAAAGACTTGAAGTTTTTTTTTTTTTTTGAGAAAACAAAATTAAGCAATTGACGTAAATTTTGCTGAAAACAAAACTTTGAAATACTTTAATTTGCTTGTAAGATAACTTAACTTATAGTTTTGTCGAGCTGCAAGTTTTCTCACTAAATTATGTAGTAACTTTATGTTTACTAAAATTATTAAATATATTAGATATAAAAGTTAATATTTTATTAGTTTATTTAACTAAGCAAGAACAACAAAATTCTTTAACTAATTTTTGTAGGTTTATTTAACCAATAGTTTATTTTAAAAATTCAGCCAGATTCAGCTAGATTCAGTAGTTACCATTTACATTTCAAGGTATTCTGCTAGATTCTGCAAAAATTTACAAAAAATTCAGCCATATTCCGCAATTCAGCAATATTCAGCCACATTTCGATGTTACCATTTACACCCTCAATCAGAGAAACATTAACTGCTCCACCAGTTATGGGGTAGGAGAGGAGAGGGTATACTAGGGGTGTCAAACTGAGATAGTTCGCTCGGCACAGCTCAGCTCATGATGAGTTAGGGTATTGCACGGCTCAGCTCATTTATTATGAGTTTAAGAACATAAGCTCAAACTCAAATCATCTAGATCGTGATCTAAATAAGCTAATTCGCGAACTAATACAAAAAAATTGAAAAATAAAATAATTAAAAATTAAACTATTATAAAATCCTAATAACTTTATGTTAAATATTTTAAAAAATCTAAATAATATTGTTATCGATTGTTAAATCAAAACCAATCCGCTACCACACATACTAAGACAATGGCAATTTACATAAATAATTAACAAGTGAATGAAAATATATTACTATTCATGTCAGCTGTTAAACCAAATAACCAAGATCGAGTACATAGTAGAGACTCGATATATTTAGGAAAAAGACGACTTCAATATTTGTTTAATGGACATTTCATGTAGTTAAAAATAGAACGAGAATATATATTTTAGTTGGTAAATCTAAAATATATTTACAACATATATTAATATATTATTTTAAATCTATAAAAAAAAATTGTTTGTGAGCTAACTCACGACTCATCTGAGCTGGTTCGGTTAACTCGCCAACTCATTTAAGCTCGATCACATAACACGTTTATTAAATGAGCTTTAAAAACATAACTCGCGCTCGTCAAAATCCGAGCTGAGCTGAGTCAGCTCATGAGCTAATGACTCGTTGACACCTTTAGGGTAAACCATATGTTTTTTGAATGCCCAGTAATACAATCTTGGAAACTTTCCCCTATACTTATGGCTACGGATTCGTTCCTATTATTCTCGATATTCTCAAACTTAGATTATTACTTTTGGAGAAACTAAAAGCATGAAAATCAAAATGGGAGACATGAAAATTTCTTATGGCTGATGTGGTTCATCTGGAAAACCAGGAATGAAAAGTTTTTCAAGGCGCTGACTCAGAATCCATAGATATTTTACAACTTCAACTTGCAGAGAGTGAATTTCTGGCTTGGAGTGCAGCTCAACCTAACAGCTCAACTCCAAAAATAGTGCATAAGAACGGGGCCCAACAATCCACAAGTATTCAATGTAAAGTGGATGGGTCTCGGAAGGAGATGGATGCAACCTTAGGACCACACTCTGATGATCGGGGCGAGAGGACGAAAAAAATGTCTATTAGACTTGGAAATGGAAGCCTTGTTATGGGTGATGAAGTCCATGTTGGATGAAGGGATATATTGCCAAACTTTCAAGACCAATTGTTCAGAACTGGTTAATTTGACTCAATTTCCATATTTGTGACCTGCCTTTTCCATCCTCTTGGATTCTTTTAGTGAGCTCTGTTAATTTGACTCAATTTTCATATTTATGATCTGCCTTTTCCATCCCCTTGGATTCTCTTAGTGAGCTTTGAGTGAGGTTCCCAATTTTTTCATTATTATTGATTCCACGTTTTCTAAATGGTAAGGCCGACTGTTTGGCCATATCAGCTTGTTTGAGGTTGATTAATTTTTTTTTTGTAATCAAAACACCACCACATTGGATAACTAGGGGCCGAAATTTATTTA